TTCGGGAAAAGGATTGGCTCTGAGGGCTGGGCACGGGGGTCCCAGTCCCGATCCCGTCGGCTGTCGGTGGACTACTTGAGCTGCTCCCGCGGCGAGAGCGGGTCACCGCGTGCCGGCCGGGGGACGGACTGGGAACGGCTCCTCGCGGGGCCTTCCCCGGGCAGCGAACAGTCGACTCAGAACTGGTACATACAAGGGGAATCCAACTGTTTAATTAAAACAAAGCATTGCGATGGTCCCTGATGTGACAAATCTGTGTCATAAACACCCTTGGAATTTGTTTAGAATTATTTATAAGTTATTTTTGGAAAATACTTTCTGAAAAATAACCATAACATGTTTATTGAGTATCCTGTAGATTGATATGAATTTTAGAATTGTATAAGTAATGTATTTATAATTTTATTTGCAAGATATATACTTTGAAAATTTTTCTGGACAGGATAAAATCACCACTTTAATATTATGCTGGTCTAATTTTGTAAATCAAAAATTTGTGCATGTGTGTATTTATGGTTTAATTCTTGTATCTACGTCATTATTTTATACCATGGTTTAAATAAATTGTTTATTTAAATTTTGTAAATTGTTTACTATTGTGTGACATGTGTAATATTTTATATTGGGAATTTTAATGAGTTGGTAAAACATTATTGGTAATTAAATGTTGAATTATTGTGAATATCTCAACAAGTAAAGAAACGCGAATTTAACCAATGATACATTAAATTTTAAAAGTGATGGGGTGAGCCCGGTTTAGAATCTTATGCAAGTGAGTTGTGAACCATAACATGGCATGGGAAGGTATTTCAGCTCTTATCGGTGTAGGCGATATAAGGTTGGTGGTGCGGGTGTCACAACATAGACCGTTCCCTAGGGGCAGACCGTGATGTCACGACTCAGGTATGTAACCCTGGTGCGTGGGCATCATTGGTAGTTACAGTAAGTAACATTTGAATATTTGACCAAGAGGGAGTCAGAATTGCCCATGGCCATTGCTTAGCGGTTGAGTGGAAATAGTGCTCTGCGGGGAGTTACTTAAATTTATTTGATAAACTAAATCTATGAGAATTTAAAAAGAAAATTGGCATTTTTCTTATGATGAAATACCATCTCTGTTTGTCATTTTTTATTTATTTATTATCTATTGTTATTATTTCAACTGATGGCATTCCTATTATGCTTATTAAATGCTACCAGTTATTTTGTTACTACGCATTATTCATTGTGGGTATTATTATCGAGGTGGGTATTTCGGGTTGTAGTATCTTATTGAGCTCGTCGCTCATTGGCATCCTCGTTGCCCTGACGTTTCATGCCAGGTACCGAAGAAACCGAAGGAAACACCGAGGTGTTGGAAGACAACATTCAGCCCTGATTAGCTTGAAGCGTGCCAAAGTTCCATGAACCATTTTTCTGAGTTTTCTAATTTTTCTCTAGTTTTTTTATTTTATTTGTGTACTAAGACAAAGTTTTAAGTTTGACTGGAGTTGTAATTTAAGAACTTTTAGTTTTGGTGTTGTTAATTAATGGATGATGGTAAATTTGGTGGCAACATCGATGAGGATTCTTAATTAAGAAAATTGATTTTAAGTTTTAAACCTTATTATGATGTCCCTAAATTTTGGGGCGTCATAGTTAAGGCCCAATCTTCCGCGGTGTTGAAGGCATCGCATGTCGCTAAGTTCATCAGGAACAACATCATCTGTCTCTACGGGGTCCTGAATGAGATTATTTCGGATAATGGTTCCCACTTCAAGAAGGAGGTGATCGACTTGTTGGAGAAGTACAACGTGGCTTTTCATAAGTCATCTACATATCGGCCGCAAACCAACGAAGCAGTTGAGGCCACCAACAAGAATATCAAGCATATTCTGCAGAAAATGGTGGAAACCTACAGAGACTGGCCAGATAAACTGCCAGTTGCTCTTTGGGGCTACCAGACTTCAATTCGAACTTCTACTGGGGCAACTCCATATTCCTTGGTTTATGGGATGGAGGCTGTTTTGCCTATCGAAGTTGAGGTTCTGTCATTACGGGTATTGACTGAGTGTCAGATAGCTGAGGCAGATTGGTAGCAAAGCAGGTTCGAAGAACTCATGCTCTTTGATGAAAGAAGGCTGAAAGCACTGTATCATGTCCAGGGTTATCAACGAAGAATTGCCAGGGCTTTCAACAAGAAGGTTAAGTCCAGGAATTTGAAAGAGGGGGATCTAGTGCTCAAAGACAACCGAGCTCCCATCCACGACCCTAAGGGCAAGTTCAGACCCAATTGGACTGGTCCTTACATCATTAAGTCTATCTGGTTGGGTGGAGCTGTCATTCTGATGGACCTAGACGGCCTAGACTTCTCCCAACCGATCAACATGGACAAGTTGAAGAAATACTATCCCTGAGTGGCTCGCTAGGCCGAAAACCCGAAAGGGCGACCTAGGCAAAAGTCAGA